CACTGTCCAGGGTGACACCCAAGTTCGATGTGGTGGGCTAGTATAGTGATTATGAAAATCAGTGAAGAGAATGCTAAGAGAACTGAAAACTGAGCTACCATATGACCCAGCTATCCCCCTCCTGGGAATATATCTAAGGAAATGAATTCACGTGAGAAAGTGACCTGAATCCTACATTTATAGCAACAATATATTTACTGAAATAAGCAAATCTCAAAAGTACAAATATGATGTGTTCTCTGTGATATAAGGCAACCTTACTGTAAGATACAAGATCAACAGCTATATAGGTGTATATATATGTATACTATCTATATGTATATATATACATTGAGAGGAACTGTATAAGGGAAAATAACACACTGAGAAATGAAGATACATTGCAGTGTGCATTTCTGCCACTGAATAAAAGATGGACTCCCAATGAAAGTGTTAAAAAATTGCATATTGTAAAAAAAAATCATATTTACTATTTTAAGATAAGGAAGGGCTAGGAACTCACTTCAAGCCTCCTGCATGATTGGCTGAAACACAGTGACTTGACCTTCACTGTGAGGAGTGTGAGTAAAGGATTTGTAGCCAAGGATTAACCCAGTCATTGTGATGTGAAATATGCCATATTTAACCACTAATCTGAAATTCTAACTCTATTTTGGTCTCTTTAACACTAGCCATTCTCACTACAGTGAGATTTTATCACATTAAAATTATTCTTTAAAAAATTATTTTGTGTTTCTGGACACAGAGAGAATATTTTCCATCCTGTTGCCACTTCCCAGGTGGCCACAATATCCAGGTCTAGAACAGGCCACATCCAACCTGATCCCCCATGTGTGTGGCAGGGACCCAGATACCTGAGCCATCTCCCACTCTTTCCTATTAACATCAGCTGGATCAGAAGCAGAGGATCCAGAACTTCCCTCGATATTCTGATATGTGCAATGGTCTTTCAGACTGTGGTTTAGCCCATTGCACAACTATGTAGGTCCTGCCTCATGGCTTGGACATCTGTTTCTGTGATTGATAATCATATGAGAATTGTGCAATATATATATATATATATATTTACATTTTATTACAATTATTATTATTATCATTTTATGGTACAGTTCCACAGGCTCCTGGAATTTCCCTTATCCCCTCCCCAATTCCATCCCCCTGCCACCTAGTTCCTCTATATCATTACTAAAATTTAGTTCTTCATACACAGTCATATGTCCATCATTGTGGGCATGGACAATGTCAGAGAGTCCAGCATCCTATTGTCAAGATATTGTGAACAGTTTCATTGTAAGTCCATCTTTGTCTGGAAGTAGAAATGCATACTACATTGTATCCTCATCTCTTGATATATTAGTCTCCATTTCACAGTTATTGTGCATCCCTTTAAATGAAAAGTCACTATACAATATCAACAATAGAAAGAAAAATAGAAATTTACAATGCCATGAAGCTAAGTGACATGTTACTAGATATGACAACCTCCATTACAAAGCCACTATACATCCCCTTAAATGAAGAGCCACAAAACAAAGTCAACATCAGGAAGAGAAAAGAAATTAACAACACCATGAAGTTAAATAACATGCTACTAAATGAATAATGTGTAGCTGAAGAAATGAAAAATCAAGAACCTTCTTGAAGAAAATTATGTTACTGTATGATCTATGGGTCATTGAATCATTTAATCAGAAGAAAGTGTTTTTGAAGAGATGAAACTAACAAAAAACAACAAAACTCATGTGATATAATTTCCGCTGATTTTTGTTGGTGAGGTGTGTCTCTTCTAGACACTATTAAAAGGTCAAATATAAGAGTTCTGGGAGTCCCAGAAGGTGCAGAAAGAGAAGCTGAGTTTGCAAATGTATTTAATGAAATCATAACGGAAAAAATTTTCCCTCATCTAGAGAAAGAATTGGGAAACAAGATCCAGGAGGGGCACAGAACTCCCAACAGGCTTGATCAAAAGTGATCTTCACCAAGACACATGCTCATCAAGATCTCTTCAATTGAACATAAGCATAAGATCCTTAAATGTGCATAAGAAAAAAAATCAATTGACATATAAAGGAATGCCAATTAAACTCATAGGAGATCTCTCACAGGAAACTCTACGGGCAAGAAGAGAATGGAGTGACATATTCCAGATTCTAAAAGAAAAAAATTGTCGGCCTAGGATAACATATCCAGCAAAGCTTTCTTTTGTTTTTGAAAATGAAATAAAATTCTTCCACAGCAATATATTTTTAATGTCTACTTTTAAATTGACTTTTCAAATGAAAAGCTGGCAAGTAATTCTTCCAATCTTGGCTTGTTTTTCCCTCCATTGATGGTTGCTTTTGCTGTGTAGAAGCATCATGGCCTGGTAACAGCCCTGTTTTTGATGTTTACTTTGTTTTCTGTACTTTAAATAGCTTATCCATAAAGTTATAACTTGGATCAGCGTCTTGAGTTGTTGTTTCTATGGTTTTCTTCTAGTAATTTTAGTGTTTCATGTCTTCCATTTATGTTGTTGACCCACTTTGAGTTTTTGGATGGGGGAGTAGTGGGGAAGTAGGGTTTAAGTTTTATCTCCTGCACCTGGTATTCAGTTAAGCAGGGCAATTTATGAAAGATCTGTCACTTTTTAGGGCTCTTCTGTAAAGAATCAATTGACTAAAGAAATGTAGATTAATTTCCTGTAACTATAATGTGGTTTCAGTTCCACTGGTCTAGTTATTGCTTTCTCTCCCACCATGACTCTCAGATGTGTCTTGAAATCAATAGTTTTGTCATGATTGCTGTGTTTATTTAATCTTGTTACTTGAAGATTTTGCTTGTTCTGTGAGAATTGGTATTGAATCTCTAACTTTTGTAATATAGTTATTCATAAAAGGTGTTATTGGCGTATAAAGTATTACTGATTTTATGTTGAGTTTTCTATCCTGTACCTTTACTGAGTTCATTTATCATTTACAATGTTCTGCTGTAATCTTTTGATTTTTCCGTCCATAGACTATAGCATATACTGCACCATATAGTATAGATACTTAGATAGTTAGATAGATAAATAGTTATTTTGAATTGCCGTACCTATTTTAGGCTTTCGTCTTACTTTTGCCTGATTTCTCTGGATAGAAATCTATTTTTTTCTTTTTTTTCAGATTTATTTATTTTTACTGGAAAGACGGATATATAGAGAGGAGGGGAGACAGAAAGGAAGATCTATATCATCCAATGGTTCACTCTCCACTTGGCCACAATGGCTGGAGCTGAGCCAATCCAAAGCCAGGAGCCAGGAGCTCTTCCATGTCTCCCACGCAGGTGCAAGGTCCCAAGGCTTTGGGCTCTCTTGGACAGCTTTCCCACCCACAAGCAGGGAGGTGGATGGGAAGCGGGGCTGCTGGGTTTAGAATTGGTGCCCATATGGGATCCCAGCATGTGCAAGGCGAGGACTTTAACCACTACGCTATGATGCTGGGCCCTTTCTATTTTTTTTAAAGATTTATTTTATTTTTATTGGAAAGGCGGATATACAGAGAGGAGAGACAGACAGAAAGATCTTCCGTCTGATAATTCACTCCCAAGCGGCCGCAATGGCTGGAGCTGAGCCAATCTGAAGCCAGGAGCCTCTTCTGGGCCTCCGAAGCTGGTGCAGGGCCCCAAGGCTTTGGGCCATGCTTGGCTGCTTTCCCAGGACACAGGAAGGGAGCTGGATGGGAAGTGGGGCTGCCGGGATTAGAATCGGCACCCATATGAGATCCCGTGTGTGCAAGGCGAGGAGTTTAACCACTACACCATCGCGCCATGCCCCATCTCTATTTTTTTTTAAAGATTTATTTATTTTCATTGGACATTCAGATTTATAGAGAGAAGGAAAGACAGAAAGATCTTCCATTGCTGATTTACATCCCAAGTGGCCACAATGGTTGAAGCTGAGCTCATCTAAAGCCAGGAATTAGGGGCTTCTACCAGGTCTCCCATGTGGGTATAGGGTCCCCAAAGCTTTGGGCCATCCTTGACTGCTATGCCAGGCCACAAGCAGGTAGCTGAATGGGAAATGGAGCTGTCAAAACATGAGCCATCCTACATATGGGATCTTGTCATTTTCCAGGCAAGGATTTAGCCACTGCGCCATCACTTTAGGCCCTCTAGCTAAAATTCTAATCACTTTTTCAGTAAAACTGACAAGAATGGATGTATTTGTGTTGTTCCTGATGTGAGGAGAAAATGCTGTCAACTTTTGCCATTTAATATGATGGCTACTGTGGACTAAAAATACAAGTCTTATTGGAAACAATGTACTGTTTTATTGGAAAGTCTGCATGAGAGAGGGAGAGAGAGAGAGAGATCTTCCTTCTGCTTATTAACTCTCCAAATGATGGCTATGCTGGGTTGATCTGAGACCAGGATCCAGGGGCTATCTCTGGTTCTCTCACATTGATGTAGGTGTCCCATGACTTGTGCTATCCTCCATTGTTTTCCATGTACATTGGCAGCATGCTGGATTGGATATTGAGCTGTGAGAACACAGACTGGAGCCCATATGGAGTCCCAAAGCCTCAGGCAGTGCCTTTTCCTGCTGTGTCATGGAGCTAGGCTTGCCACTGCTCTTCTCAAGTTCCACAGGGAGTCATTTCTGCATTCTATCCCCGGGAACCTCAGAGAAATCACCCACTTGTTTTATTTATTTGTGGATTTTTTTCTTTGTAGTTTAACTACCACTGAGAAATATTAAGTGCATACCATACATTTTCTCTTGCTTCATTCCTTTTTTGGATGAGAGAGTGAATGGGAAAATTATACCAAAATCCATAGAATCTAGAGCAATAGGAAAATAGTTGGGTAGCTAAGAAGGAAACTATGCAGATTTGGTTTTGAAATAAAGGTTTAATTCAGTGGATAAGTGCCACTTATTCTGCAGTAGCACTATGCCAGTTTTAGCATGGGTCTGAGGATGACCTTAAATATTTGTAAGAAAGCAATAAGTTTTTAGGATTTTTCCCTCTTCTCTTTTCTAGCTACATTCCCTGGAACCTGCACGAGCCAGAAAGGGGCAAATTTGACTTCTCTGGAAACTTGGACCTGAAGTATGTGGGGTTGATGTTTCTGGAGCAAGAGGAGGACTCTGATAGGTGGTTACATGGGTGGATTAGGAGCCCAGCCATGACCTGCCTCTGTGTTGAGAGCCTTGTTCTCAGGACCAGAGTGGGATGCTGCCCAGCCGTGTGCTGACTCTGTGCTGAAAGCCCTGTTACCAGCATCAAGGTGGGATGCTGCCCAGCTGTGTGCTGCCTCTCAGATAGGCCAGTTCTGCAACCACTGGGGACGCTCCACTTTGCATTTCTAGACCATTGGCCAATGAAATGGGACCAATACCTGCAACGGGACCTATTAACTTTGGATGATGAGTCTTTTATCTGGATTAGCAAGATTGTTGTAGATTTACTGCTATTACCACTGTTTCCTGCCTGATACACAAGTAATGCTCTGCTGATGCTCTGACGCTAGCAGCCAGTAGATGCCCAGATGGCAGGATCTTCATTCTCCCACCTGGGATAGGGATGCCCTGCTCTTCGGGTGTTCCTTCACCTGTGTCCCTGGCAATGAGAGGATGGGGGAGAGGTAGGCAGCTGCTTCACCCTCCAGTATGTGCAGACTGCATGCTGCCCAGACTCTGCTATGGAATCATGTGTGGTATTGAGGAGTTTTTGCTTCCCAGGGCCTTTGTGATGATTGCAGAGGAGCTCGGCCTATGGGTGATTCTGCGTCCAGGCCCCTACATCTGTGCTGAAGTTGACCTTGGGGGCTTGCCCAGGTAAGCTGGGCTGTGACACCAGAACTGTGGCATAGTAAACTATTTGCTTCACATAAAGTAATGACAAGGACAGTGACAACAACCTCCACTGACAAAGTGTTTATTGCATGGGATTTAGGTGCATGTCTCACATGCAGTCTGAGAGCTGTGGCAAGGAGCAGGTTTCACGGCCATTCTCATTGCAAAGAACAGAAGAGGAGATGGATACCCTGGTTCGTGCCAATAGCATGACAGGGTGTAAAGGGAGGAAGAGCTATAGAGGCCTGATCTCTTCTGTCCCCCAAAGCAGGCAACTCTATTTTCCTCATGCATGGAGAAGAAAGGAAACAGAAGCATTTTGCCCAGAGAGTCAAATCCTGCTGGCATTTCTCTTACTTTGTTGCATTCATTTTGCCTCACCCTATCTCTTTCTTTGTTGTTGCAGGAGATGTGTTTGCTCGTTTTTGACATCTCTAGCTCTCAGCCCCAATACATGAAATTTGGTTGAGAAATCTAGGATCTACTTCTTTGACCTGAAACATTAAATGGGAATCCTGATTTAATTCTCAACTATGCTTTAAGATAAATGCCTTCCCTCCTCAGATTCACCTGAAATTATTGCTTTTTTTTACAATGGATTTCTCCTCTGGTCCAACTCAGGTGCACAAAAAGGCTGAGCCTGACAGATGTGCATTTTTATGGAAGTAACTGTTATGTGTGCTGATAAGTTTGACACCTGGCACTTCCCCAGTGACAAGAGCAAAGAGGTTTATGAAATGGTAGTTCCTACCCAGCATGTAAGTCTTGGGTCTTAGGAGAAATGTGAGCCTTTCCCAAGGAACACATATGGCATTCATGAAAAATGGTCTTAACGCGTTTGAGTGTGAGAGAGACTCATGAAAGCCGGTGTGGGAGCCTAACCAGGCTCAGATTCTCGGACTGACTAGAAAGACCTGAAATTTCTTCTAGAATCACGAGGTGCCTCTGCAATGGAATAATGACTTCCTATAAAACCTACAAGCTGGGAGTGGTATCAAGAACTTGACCAGGTGTATCCTTTGCAGGACTGTTAACTGTAACAGGGCTCTGGGTATGAGCTAGATGGTGATGAAGCTCTAAAAAAGGGGGGCTTCGAGAAGGACCTGGGGTTATGTTCTCCTGCCTTCCTCTCTGCACTGAGTCTGTCTTTCCTTGCCCCTAGCTGGCTACTGCAGGATCCCAAGTCCCGAATTAGGACAACTGACAAAGGCTTTGTTGAATCAGTGGACAGATATTTTGATCTTCTGGTCCCCATAATGGTTCCTCTCCAGGTAAGGCCCAGGAAATGTTTCCTTAATTCCTTTATTGTAGGGAGAGAATTTGTTCTGATTCAACCTGTGAATAGGCCACAATCTGCACATATAAAACATGAAGCTGAAATTCCTGGGTTCTTAGATTCTGTACCATCAGCTTGAGGGCAGAAGCTTTTACTTGTCCTGTACGGTCATCAGGGCCTCTAAAGAACAACATCACATAGAACATAAGTTGCACATAGTAAATGAGGAAGAGAGAGAGAACTGTTATGGGGAGGTTGCATTTTCAGACCTCTACCCATCTCTCTGATGTGAAGGAAGATCTTGATTGAGCACCCATGGTGGTGGTGGTCTCTGAGGAGAGGGCAGAAGAGAAGTTTACAAAGGTGTAGAGCTGTTCTAAGAGCCACACTCCTGAGCAGGAGGCAGAAGCATTTGGCCCTAGCACACAGGAATGTTGTGATCTTATGAGAGTGCGTGGAATAAGGATGCCTCTTTCCAATGTCACAAGATAGTCAATTTTTCTTGGGTGTAATAACATCCCACAGGTTGAATAGTTGATAGAGAATGGCAGATCATCTGATTATCAGTTGTGGAAAGGACTTGATCTTCTGCCATCTTCTGCCCTGCAAATTGAAATGACACAGTTAGATATTGGTACCACCACTGAGACAGCAAGTTATGACCACCCCATGATCTCATCTAACCCTAGTTCATTCTTCAAGCCTCAATCGCTAGCTCCACCACCATTAGGTTTGGAAGCTGCTTTTAACGTAAGAAGGTTTGGATAGTCGCTTGTTCCACCAGCAGTGCCAGTAACATGGACACAGTGAGGATCTGAGGGATGAGGCACCGACAGGAGAACAGTGATAGTGAAAGCCTCTCTTAAGCCTCTCTCTGAGGCCCCTCTTTATTGCCTCCTCTCTTGACCTTTCATCTACTTCTTGTTTACTCTTTACCCACACCCTTCATTAGAGCATATTGGATACAGCTGAGACCAGGTGCTTCTAGCCCCAAGCCCACTCCCTGTAGTGGTTGGCTTAACGGCTTAACAAGTGCTAGTCAACTCCTCAGCCCACAGCAGTTGTTGAACTTCCAGATGTGGAACCTGGATCAGTGTGTAATAAGGGACAGAGCCACAGGTTTCAGAGTTTATATTCTAGTGGTAACTGGCATGAGACATAGAAGAAAACACAGAGAGGAGGATTTCTGCCCCATTTTGAGTGCCCAGGAGGAGACAGGCTGAGTCCTCAGGAAGCTTGGCTTCACATGTACCCAAAAGATGTGTTATCTTCTTCAGCAAACTCATTGTAAGTTTGAACCCTGGTAGCCTCATGTTTCAACCCTCATATGCTTGTGTCTCAGTACCACCATGGAGGCCCTGTCATTGCATTCCAAGTGGAGAATGAATATGGTGCATTTAACAAGGATGAAAAATACATGCCTTATATCAAAGAGGTAAGAACACTTTGTGTGCTTCTTCATTTATATGTTTCCTTCAGCAAACTGTGTTTTTCTGGCATGCATTTCTAATTTCTTCCTGCAGTAACAGGGCTAATATGCACTGTAAGGATATTTAAGTCAAAGTTTAATTCCACGATGAATTTACAATATCATCAGTATAATCAGGAATATTTAGAGTTAAATATGAATTATTAAAGCTGCAGTTAGTGAATGTGCACATACAGCAAATAGTGATCAATGAGTTGATGATAGTGGTTACTAGGTGTCTACATTGACGCCCTCGATATCCTTTTGTTCCCTCACAGAGTGATATTCCTGGTCAGGCTGTAACTGCAGTCCTGTGCATTGTCCTCCTTGATGTTGGAGTTTCTTGTCTCTGAATTTCCATATTCAAAGGCTGATGAGGTTCCAGACTGGATTGTATGCCTGATCAGTGTAATGAGTAGGGCTAGAGGCTTCAGGATCTGAGCTGACCCATCATCAGCTCTGTTCACAAAAAGTATGCAGCTCACCTGCTATGCAAGGAAGATGGGCAAAATACATCATAGGCCTCAGTGGAAGTGATGGATTCTGTCTGGAATTGGATCCAATCTGAGTCATTTGTCTCTTGAACCTTTGCTCATGGCTGGCATCAATGCATCAATAATTCACAGCAGATATTATATTTTTAGAAATATATGTTTATATATTCAAAAATATTAATATTATGCCATATTTTGATACAATATGTCATGCTCAATGCAAAATAAATACATCCTTCTCCTTGAATACTTACTGTTTGTGGTGAGCAGTTTTGAAATCTTGCTTCTTCTACTTTCTTATTTTTAAATATTCGGTGCATTATCTTCACCAATAATCACATCACTGCACATCATAACTGTTTTAACCAAGTATTACAAGTCTGTCCAATTTCCTCCTGCTCTACTCTCCTCAAATTCTGGTCACCACCATTTTACCGTCAGCTTCGCTGAAACCATGCATCAGCTCCACACATGGGTGGAATTATTGGGTACCTGTCTTTCTGTGGCTGTCTTATTTCAGGTAATGTGACAATCTCGTACCGTTCCCAGACAGGGTTCAAGGAAAAGAAGAGAATCACAGGGAGAAAGTTCGGCTCTCTGGTCACTTTTCTCATAAACTTTCTATCAGACGTCCCTCTTCTTTAAGGCAGAAAAGGCTGCTTTGTTTTCTGGAATAAGCTTGGATAATTTGCTTGGCTTGTGATGCAGACCTGTGCTCAGTGTCCTTGGTCCCTCAAAGCACAATGGGTTCTCTTGTCTGCGCTCCTTCACATCCTGTGACTTACAACTGCCTCCAGAGTGTTTCCTAACAGACTCTGCTCTATGTTTTCCAAAGGGGACTTGGTTTAGGGGTTTTCTGATCTTACCTTAATCTACTTTTGGTGCTCACCCCTGGAACAATACTGGGATGAGACAAACCCAGTAATCTTCCAACTTCTTAATTTGAAAATATTCAGATTCTGATTTCACTTTTACTCAGTAACACATAGCTGTTTTATTCCAGTTGTGTTCATTTCCCAATTTCTTTATACAAGTTTTCTTCCAATGGACACAAAGAAAAGGAGCTCATGTTATTGCTTTTTATCAACAGGCCCTGCTGAAAAGAGGGATTGTGGAGCTGCTTTTGACCTCTGATTTGATGAATAATGTGCGGAAAGGTCACCTTAAAGGAGGTACAGATGTAGAACAGTTTGAAGGGATAACTGGGGCTCTTACCTGACTGATGTGAACTTTAAGCTCTCCAAAGCCCATTTGCCCGAGTTCTTCAGACTTGTGCTCCAGCATGTGAGGACCTACGTATCTGCTCAGTGTTCTCGGATTTTGTTGCTTTTCCTTGCTGCTGCTGTTGTCTCTGACAGATCACGAGGAAACCCTTCACCCTGAGCACGTTACCTTCGTCACAGTTGTTGCATTGCTAGGAATCTTTGCCTAAAGCTAGGAGAGTTTAACAACCCTTCCAGTCCACCAACATGAAATGTTTCTAGAAAATCAAGTAACCCAGTCCAGGATGAAATCCTACTGCCTCAGGCTTCTGTGTACACACGTTTGAATACTAAGTAGCAGTAAATGGAAACTCTCAGTGGCAATAGTAAATGAATAATATAGGGATAGGCATATGGGTCTTCAGCTCTTCCTTGTTGGCACTATCACAATGCCTCAGTAGACATGTGTTCTCTCTCTACAGCCTTGGTCACAGTCAATCAAAGAAGACTGTGTCAGAGAATGTTTAAATTGCTGCATCAAGTACAGGTAAGATGTCTTAAAGATGAAGTATCTTATCTCTTCTTCCACCACTCATAGCCTGTGTGTCTGGTGTCAGTGAGCCCTAACATAGTTGCCAGTAATTTCAGGAGCATTTGCTTCTATGTTTGGAGAATTAGGAAGACTTCCTGCTATCATCATTTCTGCTTAGCGATTGCACTGTGGAAATGTGTAAGATTAGTGAAGGTGTTTTTTTTTTTTTTTTAAGATTCATTTATTTTTATTGGAAAGTCAGAAAAACACAGAGAAAGATCTTTCATTTGCTGATTCACTTCCCAAGCAGGTGCAGAGGCCAGAGCTGAGCCCATCTGAAGCCAGGAGCCAGGAACTAGGAGTTTCATTCGGGTCTCCCACATGGGTGCAGGGTCCCAAGGCTTTGGGCCTTCTTTGCCTGCTTTCCCAGGCCACAAGCAGGGAGCTGGATTGGAAGTGGGACTGCCAGGTCATGAATGGGAGTGCATATAAGATCCTGTTGTGTGCAAGGCAAGGACTTTAGCTGCTAGGCTACCTTGCTGGACCCAACAATAGTGAAGGTTTAAAGATATAAACCCTTATCATCTGTTCAGAGACAGATGATTCTAAGACTGATATCAGGAATGAATCAATACCTTGTTCTGTTAATGTTGCTGTTTTCCAGCCAAATGCTGCAAGTCCTGAGAATAAGTGGCATTATTTCTTTATTACTTAACAGGAATTGAGAAGCCTCTACTTTCCTCCCAGTGCATTTCCTCTGTGACAGTTTCCCAACAGACTAAACATGGTCCATGCCATAGAGAACATATCCTTTCCCTACCCAACAGCCTGATGTCGAATGCTGTCCTCTGTGCTGGCTCTGCTTGCCCCAGCTTTCCCTAGGGTTGGCCATTACTTTCACATCCACTGCCAAGTTCTCCTAGTCCTCTTGCAACTGCATACTAGCCGTCATTTCTGGTCGCAGTCCACAATTTGCAACCATTTCTGTCACAATCAGAGCCATCCATTGCCCAAATCTTGTATGTTGCAACTGCATTGCTCTCATTTCAGCTTTCTCCACTACTCCATAAATATTGATCAAGGAGAAAATGACACGTCTCAATTTCTACACACTTTCCAATCTAATACAAATTATTAACACAGGAAACCAAATCAGCATGAGTTATTTTTTTAAGATTTAGTTTTATTACTTTTTATTGGAAAGGCGGATATACAGAGAGGAGAGACAGAGAGGAAGATCTTCCGTCCCAATGGAATTCCATTCCCCAAGTTGAGCGCAACGGGCGTTACTATGCCAATCGAAGCCAGGAGCCTCTTCGGGTCTCCAGCGGGTGCAGGTTCCCAAAGCTTTGGGGCTGTCTCGACTGCTTTCCAGGCCACAGGCAGGGGCTGGAAGGGAAGCGGGGCTGCGGGATTAGAAACCGGCGCCCATATGGGATCCGGGCGTGAAAGGCGAGGACCTTAACCACTTGCGCCACCGCCCCGGCCCGATGAGTTATTTTTATACATGTGTTTATTATATGAAAATTAATAATAGCTAAGATATGAAATCAACCAGGATGTCCATCATCAGATGACTGGATACAGAAACACGTGTATGTGTACACACATATGCACTATGAAATACTACTCAGCTATGAAATATAGTAAAATCTGTCTTTTGCAACACATGTGTTATCCGTGCTGTAGCATGAATCAATTCTTTGTCCTTTTTGGCAACTTTTTGAATCTAGTTTTGAGCTCATATATGCAAAGCAATGGCCATACTAAAAAAATGTACAGCTTTTCTTTATGAAAACGTCTTTAGTATGTTTTCATTATTAGTATAATATGATGTTTTTTAAAAAGTTTGGATGAAAACACAGTTATGCAAATTATTAAGGTACTTTGACATTTTTGGTACATGCATCCTTTGTGTAATGATTGCATTAGAATAAAAAACATATGCATTCCTTCAAGAGTTTATACCTTGATTTTACTAAGAATGTGAGTAACTTCTCTTCTGGATATTGAGAAATAACTTAGAGTATGTCCAGCTGTGTCACCCCTCTATATAGAACAAAGTCTGCCACATGGCAATATTGTGCTCACAAATTAATTTCTTCTAATTCCCCTCTTCTGCCTCCCCTCACTTCACTTCTATGACACAAGCTTATTTAGGTTGAAGTATGAATAAAAACATGAAATATTTTCTTTTTTAAGATCTAGTTTAATTTACCTAAAACAGTGTGTCCTTTAAGCTTATCTATGTTGTTGCAAGTGGAAGAATTTCAATCATTTTTTCTTTATGAATAGTATTCTATTTTATGCATACACACTTTAGTGTCATCTATACATCTTTTGTTAAGAAATTACACTGATTCCATAGTGTTCTCCACTGTAAATATGTTTTATTCCACAGAAAAATAAAGGATTATTATAGATTATGAACAATTACACAGCAACAAATTTAATAACATATGGGAAATAAAACATTTTCTGACACACACACATCTTACTAAGATTAATCATAAAGAAGCAGAATAGCTAAACAGACTAATGATGAATAAGGGGATGGGATAAGAAAACCAAATTCTGTCATCAAAGAAAAGCCTGGGACCAGAAGGCTTCACTGCTGAATTTTGACAAACAGTTGAACAATTAACATCAATTCTCTTTAAATTATTTCAAAAAACAGAACAAGAGGGAAATTTTCCAAACACATTCTGAAGTCAGGCTCACCTTTTTTTTTTTAATTTAATTGATTACATATTGCATTATGTGACACAGTTTTATGATACAGTCCATAGATTCAAGGGTTTTCACTCATCCAAATAATTTCCCCTATATTATGACAATAGTATGGTTTTTCAAAAGCAGTCATAAGTCCACCATTTTGCTCTTTAAGTGTATCATGACTTTGTAGATGTTCAATGGCAGGAAGTCAGCATCTTATTGCAAAGCTCTATTTAGCATTTTTTCTCAGAGTCCATCTTTTATTCAGAAGTAGCAATGCATACTGCAATGTATCTCTGCAACACGGCGTACTTGCCTTTAGACAAATCTGTGTATACACATGTTTACCTATATATCTATTGATCTTATATTTTGCAGGAAGGTTGTCCTATACAATAGAGAATATATGATGTTTTTCCTTCCGGGATTGGCTTAGTGGTCTCTTAGTGGTTGGGAATATTTTGTTGCAAATGGTAGATTTTCATTCTTTTTAGTGGCTGAATAGTATTTTGTGAAGTAGGTGTACCACAGTTTCTATATCTACTCCTCTTCTGATGGGCATCTGGCTTGTTTCCATGTCTTTGCTATTGTACAGCTGTAAATATAGGATTACAGGCCACTTTCCTATATAGAGATTTCATTTTCTTTCACTGGATTCCCAAAAGTATTTTGTACAATAGATAAACTCATCAGTGCAAATGTCTCCTCAACAGGTGGATTAAATTTCTTTACATATTTGACTGGTTTTAGATTTTTCGGATCAAAGCGAAGTTCTATTTTTGCTTTTAAATGTTACATATATTTATGCTGAGAATTTTGCTAATTTGTGTGAAAAATCCAACGCTTTCAAAAACAAATTCTGGGACCAGCATAATAGCCCTGTGGGTAAAGTCCTCACCTTGCATGCACACCAGAATCCCATATGGGTGTCAGTTCTAATCCCAGCTGCCCCACTTTCCATCCAGCCTTCTGCTTGTGCCCTGGGAAAGCAGTTGAGGACAGCCCAAAACCTTGGGACCTGAATGAAGCTCATGGCTCCTGGCTTCAGTTCAGCTAAGCTCCAACTGTTGCATTTGCTTGGGGAGTGAATAAGGGATGAAAGATCTTCCTCTCTGTCTCTCCTCCTCACTGAATATCTGAATTTCCAATTAAAATAAGTAAATCAAAAAAATTCTGAAAATGTAACAGTTAGGAAGATAATTTTGAAAAGATGCATATGAAGCTGGGTAAGTAAATTCTTATTGAAATACTAACCCCAGAATGACTAGATAGTTTGGTAAATTTTGGTAAATATTTTAAGAATAAATGATTGCACAATGATATATTGCTTCAGAAAATGCTTATGAAATGCTTCTCAGTTCATTTTGTAGGCATAACAGCACAGTGATGCCAAAACCCAATAAATATATATGCAAGGGACAGTGCTAACACAGACTAAAAAATCGCTTAGCTTTCAGCATTTCGCGTATCAAATCTAATCCAAAAAGTAAAAATGAAATACACATAATTGCATTCTTTTCTAGATAGTTCTTTCTCCGCACAGTCGAGATTCTGTGCATTGTTCATGTCTGTAATTGTTAATTCTTTGCTTGTAACTGCCTTTGCATTTCTGGTGGTGCTGGTTGGGTGGTGGAGAGTTCTGTAAGGATTTGCTTGCTATGGAAAGTCTTTGTGTTCTAAGCTTTGTTAGATGTTTTTGCTGGATAGAGTGTGCTTAGATGGCAATTCCCCTCTATCAAGATCTTGTGCTTTTGAACTCGTATTCACTTAGTCTGTAAATATTCTGATAAATACAATAATCTAACATAATCCTTGTAAATTACATGTCAGACTTTTCTGTTTTCTAATTGCTTTGCATTTTTAAAAAGTTTTTCAGTGGAGTATGTTTGAAAAAGCCATCCTCTTCTTGAAAGATTCTTTTCTTCTATTCCAAAAATCCTGTTATTTAATCATCTTTCTAGTCATCTTTCCATCTGGAGCACTCATAATTAAAATTTTTGCTCCCTGGGGAGTTTCATGACATTATTAATTTTCATTTTTGGAAGATTTTTTCTACTGGTTGTTTTATTTTAAAATATCAATCTTCAAATTCATAATTGTTTTTAGCAAATCACTTATGCTAATGGGTTCTGTATTTATGTTTTAGTTTCAATATTTTTGATAAATTCATTCCTCAATCTCTAATTCATAAAACGTATTAAGTTCTTAATGTTGCTGAAATGTCCGTATTCTCTTGGGTTTCCTTGAGCTCACATAAAGCCATTGTTTTTAACTTGTTGTGAAGTAATTCCTTGTGTCTCTTGCTCGACTATTAAATTCATTTGTAGGACTTATGTTTCCTTGAGTTTTTATTTTCTGGGTCCATATATATATAATGTATTTATTGAGTCAGTTGAACCTATAAACTTATAAATTGTCTTTCATATTAAGATTTTCTGCTAGTGTTCCTTGTATTCCTTGTATCTGCTTTGGTATAAGTAAGCACTTTAGAATCTGTTTAGTTTCTTGAATTATAATCAACACTGGTGCTACCCACAGGTGTCCCAGTGTTCTAGTTTAAAATGTTGTGAGATTATACCTAGCAGGCATGAATATTCCCTGAATTCTGTAAGTTTGCGGGCAGTTCTGGGAGTAGTGCACTTGGCTACGTGTGATCTGTCACTTCCACAGGCCTAGGGGGTGTGGTGCATCATGCACAGTGATGTGGCAGTGTGTCAGTATATGAGGCTCCCTGAAGGCATGGATAAACCAGGGTGCTCCTATGGAGGACTTCTTCAGTGTTTTTGAATTGCATATGTGACTACATGAGGCTTGTAAGGCAAAGCAGCTTCAAGAGACAGTCTGACAAGCTTTTTCCTGGGTAAAGTGAGGATGTGGAGTACTGAATGTCTGATTTCAGACATAGAGAACGTTTCTTACAATGGTTATTCAACAGTTTTTCTTAAAATTAAAAAAAAAAATTAGTCCATCTGAGAGGGGGAAAAGAGACAGAGAGATTTATCTCATCTACTGGCCCATACTTCAAATCTCTGCAACTTCCAGGGACTACATCTGGATCTCCCATGTTAAAAACAGGAAACGAGATGAAACGAGCCATTACCACAACCTTCTAGTGAACACATTAGCAAAGACCAAGTTTAAAAGTGAAAGATTCATAGTTGAAACATGGCACAGCAATATGTACACAAGCATTTCAGAAGACCTCTTAAATTTCACAGCAGATGCCTTCCATTCAATTGTAATCAGGTTTTTTTTTATAGCCACAGTGAATTCTTTTGGTTCCAGCCTGGAACACAAGGTTGGAATCATGGCTGTTTCTCTCATGTACTTCAAGCTGGTGCCTGAAGCTGAAAGGAGGGGACAGTGTAGTTGAGGAACCAAAGTATGAATGGTGGGAAACATGGAATAAAGAAGGGAGGAGTTGGGATTGGCGTGGTGGCCAATGCCTAGAGTCCTCACCATGCATGAACTGAGATCCCATATGGATTTTGGGATCCCTACAGTCCCACTTCCAATCTAGCTCCCTGCTTGTGGCTCAGGAAAGCTTTGGCACCCTGCATCCATGTGCAAGGTTCAGAGGAAGCTTCTGGCTCCTGGTTATGGGTCAGCTCTGGCTGGTCATGGTGGCCACTTGGGGAGTAAATCAGCAGCCTGAGGATTTTCCTCTCTGTCTCTCCTCCTCTCTGTATATCTCACTTTCTAATAAAAATAAATAAATCTTAAAAAAAAGAAGGTGGTGAAAACTAATGAAGCAAAAAGAAAAGGCTCTGAATTTATTAAAACTGAGATCTTTACATTTTACAGTGATTCATTCAGGGCTTATGATATTTATGTTCTGTTTTATGATGATGATTCTTGCTTTATTTTATTTGTTTCTAGGGAAACATGCCCATTCTAATTATGGAATTCTGGATTGGTTGGTTTGATTTTTGGGGTTTCCCCCATGTGACTAAAAACCCACATAGTAAGTATTTAACAATTCTAGACAATGGAAAATGTTTCTGCATTAGAATATTTGCATGAGCCTATGCTAATTGATGCAAATATTCACTCAGCCTGCTAGGCCCCTGTTTTGAGCCAGATACTGAGGAATCACAAGTAAATGAAAATTATACTATTTTTATACTGACAGAAAGTCCATGATTTAGGGGAGCTGACAGATGTTTGAAAAGCCAGTCACTATTTCATTGTATCTGTGGAGGTTTTCTTTAAAGAAAACAAATAGGGAGCAGTGATAGGAGAGTTGTGACACATAGGCACAGATAAAGGAAGGACATACAGCTTATGTATTTTCTGTGTCATCTCCCCAAAGTGAGCAAATCTTACTACAGAGTTGAATTTGGAGGGTAAAATTAGCAAGAGAGTGCAGTGATTTTTTGAGAGCCTGCATCCTGGGAGCACAGTAAGCATATTGCTCATTGTCCTACAGAACAAGCCATATGACCAGAGGCAGATAGCTTTCCGTGATCTGTGTCAGTGTCCTCACAGAAAGTTGGGAATTATCAGTAAGTCTACTGTCAGTATTGTTGGAAGGAACAGACACTGCTCTGTACAACAATGGCTGAAGAGTTGTGTTCATTTTGTAAATCATGTTTCCATTAAAAATAACCTTTTATCACTATTAAGTGGATAGACCCACTTATACATACATGAAAAATTTTAAAAAATATTTGTTGGCTGAGAAAAATCATGCTTTTTAGACTAAAAATGGAAAGAGTAAAATAAAACATCATCATCATTGCCAGTAACAACACAGCACTGGCATCACCACCAACAACCATGCCAACTACAATAACACCAATACGCCAACAAAAGCACCAATACTACTACCAGCAACAGAAACTACACAATTCAAAGTTCAGGGACACTTCTACTGCCAACAGTAATGTCATCAAAACGGAAACACCAGTAACACCTACAAGGACAGCTACAATGATAATAACAAAATCACCACTGAGAATACTTGTATTGATGGCACTGCTGTCATCAATGATCATAGTAACTATGGTAGCAATAACAGCAAAAGCAACACTCCCACCATCAACATACGAACCAACAACAGAATCCCAAACTCAACAAAACCAAACTCAACAAAACTGTGACCAATGGCAGAAACAAACATATCAGAGCCAACGGAAGTAATAATCCACAACAAAAAGGAAGAATAACAGCAGCTAGAATGTCCATATGGCAAAGCAGCAGCTATCTGATCAGTTCTATGTTATGCATTGTGTCATGTTTTATGTATATGTGTGTATGTGTGCATATCATCCTCAGCTAACTTTCTTTTAAGCCTGTGAGGTACTAGGGGTCATTCCATGCAATTAACAAATTAAAAATCAGAAGTTTTGAGAAAGAAAATAGATTGATTAAGAGAAATAGTGCAGGGCACAGAAGGACTGAATGCCACATCTAACTAATCCTGACACTCTTACATTTTTAGAATTTGTTCTGCTGTTCCTCACTGATATTTTTATTTTTAAATTTCTTTTGCTTTGTATTTCTATGAATGGAGAAATTTTATACACTTCATACAGGTATTTAGAAAATAATGATATTGTGACTAGTAGAAAGACAAATTGTGTCTATTTACACATGAAGGCAAAGAGTTTTTGTAGATTAAATTTCACAACTCTCTATGGACATTAACAGGAATTCAAATCACTTGTGCCCTGAGACAGTTTATTGGCATTTATTAGTGGAGATATGCTAGACCTTTGTACATTTTTTTAAACTAATGAAACCTGGATATTTTAGGAATGTAAGAAGAATACTTTGGGTTTCAGTTAATAATTCCAGTTCCAGTATTTGAAAAAGAAAGGTTTATAAGGTTCTAGAATGGTGTAATTACTAGAACAGTTCTGGTGATTTTCTCATTTTATGTTGCAATTTTAGTGGAAATTGATTGAAAACAATCAATGATGTTTTAAATGACAAGAATTCAAATTAAATTTCTTCCTCCTGTTAGTTTCTAATATTATCTATGTTCTCTTCTCCCTCTATAGTTATTGAATACATTGCATCTGAATTTATCCAGTACGGGCTGTCTTTCAATGTATACATGTTTCATGGTGGAACCAATTTTGGTTTCCTGAGTGGGGGTGCATATATCAACAAGATGCACAGGACTGTAGTGACTAGTTATGGCAAGTATTTCCTGCCCTTCTACATTAGTGGGATTGCAACACTATAAAGAATGCTCTGAACACCTTCTTAAACCCTTGAATCTAAGATCTATGACTTTTACTGAGCAATGAGCACATTCATGTCTTTCTTCTGGTTTTCCATGATGTTCATCATATCCCATCTGGCCATCACAGCACTAGGAGTCCCTTCGCTCATCTTGTCCACTGAGTTTTTTATTTGGGCCTCTAATTGGTGATTGCTGCAATGCCAAGATGGAAAATTCAGACAGATGGAAGAAAATATGTCCAATAGATTTTGAAATGGAAGGATTACTCCAATGTCCTGGAAACTAGTGTTTCCCAGGAAAGCTTATGGGGCAAGATCTTATATTTCCATGACATGCCCATTCTTAGCATGGGCTGCAATATTCTGGAGGTAAGGAGATGTTGTTTTCATACATTTCCCATAAGTCTGACACATTGCATGCCCAATGCAGACATAGAAACATCTACAGGGGTTGAAAGTCCCTGAACAGGGCTCTGGTTGTCTTGCAGACTGTGATGCTCTGTTGACAGAGGCTGGAGATTACACAGAAAAATATTTCAGGTTTCGAAGACTCCTTGGATCCCTCTCAGGTAATCAGTCTACATTTAAGTGGAGGATGATCATGTTATGTAGGTTCTGCATTGTTTTTACAAGTGACATTTACAAGAACTTAATGATGTTAATAAAAGCAAGGGCAATGGATATGGCATTGAGGAAGCATTTCCAAGCCCATGTATATTGGTGGTTCCAATGAGACACGCAAATAAAGGCAATGGTTTCCTGGGTTTTGGTGAATGTTATATAAACCTATTTTTAAAGTTCTCCATAAAATATGAGACATAGTAACATCTTCACAAGAGAAAACTATTGCTCAGTTAAACAGTGTTGTTTAACCATATACCAAAGTTAGACCCAAGGAAAACCCAACACTGTCAAAAAGCTTCTTGAAAGGTTTCATTCTGATGGCCAGCATTAGAACTCACAGGCTTCCGTGCCATGGCATGTGTAGATTCAAAAGGATTCACTCAGCAACTGCCTGTCAGCCATCATTCTTGGAAAAGCATATCCATGTTTTAGGATAGGACTCATGCCACTGGTTTGCTTACAATAAGTGAAAATTCTTACAGAAGGCAGTAGTTGTCCTGGACACTTCTCATGCTGTGATCCATTTTCACTTCAGAAATTCCCTTGCCCCCGCTACCTGATCCTACTCCCAAGTCTGTGTATCCTGCTGTGAGTATATTACACTATTTGCCACTGTGGGAAACCCTGCATTACTTAAATGAGGTGAGTATTCTTTGGGCATTGGGGTAAGGGTGGCCAAGGGCAAGAAATTTTTAGCTCTGTGGAGTAGAGATTCTTCCAAGGAACTTTATTTTAAAAATGTAAGGCCAGCATTGTGATGTGGGCAATTTAGTCATTCCCTGAAATTTTGGCACCCCATATCAGAGTTTTGCTTTACATCCTAGTGGCTTGGCTTCTGAACTAGCTCCCTGCTGACAATCTCAGGAAAGCAGGGGAAGATGAACTGGTTGCTTGAGCTCTGGCATTTATGAGGGTGCCAGGCTCCTGTTTGGTGGCTCCAGCCCCAGTCCTTGAGACAAAAGGACTGAGATTCAGCAAGTGCAAGATTCTCTTTCTCTCACTCTGCTTTCAAATGAATAAAACAATGCTAATAAAAAGCCTCTGAATTTCATCCAGACTTGGAACCACAGTCCATCCAAGTGGACTTTAAGTGGATTTGATCTTGAAGTAAAACGTGAAGGAAAGGGCTATCTGGTGGGTGGGGGATTCTGTTGCCTGACTCAGGTGTGTGGTGAAAGCTGATGTGTGGAACTGTTATCCAAATGGAGACAACCATGAACGCCCTAAAATGTGTGCATCTGAAACTTCAGCACAGAATGTCTGCTAGCATTCATAACCAACTAGTCATCACTCAACTTCTGTAGGTCTTTACACACACCTGAAAACTACACATCTGTCTTATATTGAATAACAGCTGCAAATTCCCAAATCAGCTTGTGAAATCAAAATGAGCTGAGCTCCTCCTTACCCTTCTGGACAAAGTGCAGTGACTGTCAGTTTGAACATCCTAAAAAAACAGCATCCCAGAGGATAATTCATCATCTTGTCCTAATTTTATTTTATTCCACATTTACACATTTATTTAAAGAAGTCACAGAGCCAGGACCCAAGAGGTCTGGCAATGTCAGAGCCAGGAACCAGGAGCACCGTTCAAGTCTCCAGCATTGGTAGCAGGAGCCCCAAGCACCTGGGAGATTTTATGCTGTTCCCCCGCCCTCCCCCCGGCCATTAGCTAGAATGTGAATTGGAGGAGCAGCTAGGATATGAGTTGGTGCCCATACTAGATGATAGCATTGCAGAAGGTGGCTTTTTGAGCTATGCCACGATGCTGGCTCCTGTTTTAGTTTTATTTTTAGTTTTCTTTCGTTTTGCACTTCTAGCTTAGTACACTTGTTCATGAGTAAGTGAGTAAGGCACTGTGATTCTGGCATTCTATATGGGTGTCAGTCGAGTCCTGGTGGTTTCACTTCCAACCCAGTTCCCTGCTAATACTGTGCCAGGAAATGTAGTACAAGATGAATCAAGCACTTGACTGGCTGCACCCACACTGGAAACTTGGAAGAAGCTCCTGAATTCTGGTTTCAGACAATGGGAAGTGAACTGGCAAGTGGAAGCACTCTCTCTCTCTCTCTCTCTCTTCTGTCCTTTACTGTTTGTAACTCTGCCATTCAAATAAGTACATCTTTAGAAAAAACTAAAGTTTATTATTATATTTCTTATCTCTGAGGAAATACTGTTAGTTTTCCCCATTCTTCAGGATCTTATTGTAGGTTAAATAGTAGGTTATAGTAGCATTTATTGTGTTAAGGAATATTCCTTGAATACCCACTTTTAAATCATTAATATTAATGAATGTTACTTTTTACACATATTTAATAGATAATAATACAGTTAATGTGTTTCATTCTATGATGCTTACTAATGTGCATATTGAAATATATTTACACCACTCAGATTCTATTGGATAATGTGACTGAAATGTAAAATGTAGTGTTGGATTTGATTTTCATTTTCTACATGGCTACACATGCTCATTTTTCCTTTATCTTTTGCCATGCTCTCCTTTTCATTCAGTGCATATCCTTGCTGATAAAGGCAGAATACAGCTGAGTCTTTTTAAATTAATTCTGCCAGTCTGTATCTTTTGATTGGAGAGTAGAAACCACTTGCAGTGATTATTATTATTTAAGTGTAACAATGTTTTGTACCATTGTTTCATAAATCCTCAAGGTCATTTGTTGGGCTGGATGGAAAGTGGCAAATAATTTCATCTTTCTGTTTGTTTTGGAAGGTATTTATTTTGCCTTCATTTATTTGATAGAAAAGTATTCTGTGTTGACAATTTTTATTTTATTTTAAATTTTTGGATTATAGACTATGTGTCTTCATTCTCTCCTACTTCTTAAGGTTTCTGATGAGAAATCAAATGTTAGTCTAATTGTGGATCCTCTAAAGATGAGCTGCTACTTATCTTGTGTACATATATATTGAGAACTTATGAGTTTTCCAATATTTCATCTTTGATTTCCAAGGGTTGACCTTCTCTATCAGGTCTTCTTTCTTCTGCCTCACACTGTCTGTGGCTGAGATGTCCCACTGTATTTTCTATTTGGCATCTTGAATTCTCCATTGCTATTATTTCCATTTAAATTGTCTCAAAATCTCAATTTTAATGCATAATTTTTCATCAAAGTCATCTATAATTTTAATCTCAATAACTTGCTCTGTGTTCTTTTGCTTACTCTCATGATTTTTTCCATTCATTTTCAGATATTTCATCAGTCTCTTATTCACAATTGAAACATTGTTCTGTTCCTTTGGGGAATCACACTGTCTTCCTTGTTTTTGTTCCTTGTATTCCTGTGTTTGTTTTTAGGCTTTTCTGGAAGCACTATTGTTTTTTTCCTCTGCTGGAGAAAATAATGATGCCTCTATGGCCTGGTGGAGTCAATATTTTTTCAGAGGGTTTTGGAGGTGCAGATAGGGTATGTCTTGCACACTGGTCAGTGCCTAAGTGTTGAGTGAGACTCACAGGTTAACACCCAATTTGGGCATGGTATATCTTCTATTTGCACAGCATAGGGGATGCAATGACCATGATTGTTAGTGTAATCACAGTCTCATGTCTTCTCTTTCATGGTGTCCAATGTCCAGGTTTATTCCTCACCCAGACCAGGACAGATACCATGCAAAAGATCTGTGCAGTTCTTTGAGTGCCTGGAGACGCAGCTACACAACACATATTATTATGCCATCATAGAGTCTCCACCATTTTGGCACAGAAAACCCCCACTGTCAGACATTGCTCAGGATTCTCTCAGCCCCAGAGCATCCCTTGGCTGCCAAGATAGCAGCGGCATTCCCAGCTCCAGATGCCAAGGAATGTTGGGACCTTGTCTTCTCTGGGGGGGGGGGGGGCTCTAGGATAGTGAAATGAATGTGTTCCTCACAGTAACAAATGTGTGTGCTGCCATCTGTCAGGAAACAAACCCAGACTCAAAAGAGAGAACGTGTGTGCCTAGATAGAGCCTGTAACCACAGTTTTCATTGATACTACTGAGTTATATATATTAGCAATTACTCTTGACTGCTTCAGGCCATCTTCATGTTGCACCTGCTCCCCACTGGTTCAGGTGCCTTGTGGGATAATGAGATTAAGGAAGTTTCTGCCACCCACATGTTAACCCACCACAGCTCTTCCCTCCACTCTAGCTTCAGTCTAAACTGGGAGTCATTGTGGTCTGAGAGGTTTCTCTCCAGGCAGTATCTCAGTGACTCTGGCCCACCTGTCTCTTCAGAACTGCTGTCTTTCTGGTCCTCATTGTGGTGTCTTCTTGGTGCTGAGTGATCATTTACACTGGCATCATCTACACTGCTGCACAAGGTTTCTCAACCCTCTTCCAATTTCTGTGGTGGACCCCTACCTAACGCAAACCTTGGAATGCATCTTTCAACGTTTCTTTCACCAGCCTTCCCTAGTTGAAATTACCTTTATGGTAATCTGAGTTTCTACTGTTAATCTAACTATTTCTATCATTTGCTGTTACCAAAGCTTGATTTTCATCTTCTTTATTGCATATCTATTTGATTTTCATCTTCTTTATTGCATATCTATTTCATTAGTAAGATTGTTACTTTTGTGTTTTTGTGATGGCAGCTGTTGCCCTTTTAATTGTACTGTAAGATTGTCTTGAGTACTTCTTACAGAACACTCTGGAAATGATGAATTCCTTACATTTCTGCTTGTATTAGAAAGTCATTTTTTTGTCATTCATTTATGTTGGCTAACTTTACTTGAAACAGTATTCTTGACTGAATATCTTTCTTTCAAGAATTTGACTGTGTCACCCCAATTTTATCTGGTTTATATGATTTGTACTAAGTGTTCTGCTGTTAATTTGATGATTCCTTTATCTGTGATAGCATAACTTTATTTTTATACTTATATACTGTTTTGAGAATTTTATGTTCTTACTTTTGACAATCTGTGAATGAATTTTGTCACTTTTACTTGTCCTTTGAGTGTATTCTACCTCAAATTTGGAAAATTTTCAACAATTATTTCATCATATTCTACCTCAAATTTGAAAAGTTCTCAACAAGTATTTCATTGGCCACATTTTGATTGTGTTTATATTTCTTCGTCCTTTCTGCTGAACCAACAATGATGGTCATTTAATGATGGTCTATGCATTGAATAAAGTTTTTCCATTCTTCCCCATTTTGTTTCTTTTCTATTTTTTCTATAGATATAGCTATTTCAAATAACCTATCTTCAGACTAAGAACTTTTTCCTGTGCAGGCCCAACTCAGCTACTAAGGGTGACAACTACATTTTATTTTATTTTGTTCTGTTTTGTTTTATTTTGTGTTTTTTTTTAAGCTCCATGTTTTCTGTTTATTTATGTTTTATAATACCAAATTGTTTTATGCATTTCTAAATTACATATCGCAAAATTTCTTCCAAATGGTGTTGAATTTTCTGGTTCTGATATCTTATATTTCATTGTCATTACACTGAGTTTTTTGTCAGACAAAATCTTTTAATTAAAAATTTTTTTCATGGTATGGTTTCATAGACACAAGGAACCCTTTCTCTACCTTCCATTATTCCCCAGCTCTGAGATCCCTCATTGTATAACAATATTATAGTTCTTCAACAACAGCTGGAAGACCATCATTCTGTTATTCAAGTGTTTTATCACATCATAGGTACAGACAATGGTAGACAGTTTAAAATCCTGTTATCCAGGTATATTTAACAGTTTCATTGGCAGTCCTTTTACTTGGGAATAGAGATACGTACTGCAACGTATCTTCTTTTCCTGGTATGCTGGTCTCAATTTTACAGCTCATTTATGAGAATATATGTATGTGTATATCTATACCTATATTTATATAGCTTGTATTTTACGTGGAGGTTGCCTTATATCAGCGAACATATAATATTTGTTTTTTTGGGGATTGGCATATATCACTGAGTATAATGATCTCTAGCTGGGACAATTTGTTATAAATGGCAGAATTTCATTCATTGTTTTTCATGGCTGAGTGGAGCAGATGTACCACAATTTTTTTTTAATCTTTTGAAAGGCATTCTGGGCTTTGTTCAGGTTTTTGTTATTGTATGTTGTACTGCCAGACAAATTCTTATCTCCATTTCTTCTTCCTAATGCTGCTGGTTTCTTTGGGAAGCATCATATTAACTTATCTTTTTAATGTTCCTGTGGTCCAAGTTTGATTTTTATGGATTTGCTACATTAATTATCTCTACCAATTTTATTGGGTAGCTTTTATAGTATCATCATTTCTGTTCATGATGTCTCCAGTATCAGTTGGGCTAACTGTGTTGGCTTTTGTTACAGATAGGGTGCTTAGTGCAATTCCTGTGTGCATTCTTCATCTATAACTCAAAGCTGGTGATATATGCAAATGGGTCATGGCCTAGGCTCCAGAGGTTGTGCAATTATTCCATAACCTACAAAGCATGTCATTCTTTCAGAAAGGACAGTTTTCCTGTCACCTCTAAGCATGGTGCATCAGACTGTGTGTGAGGGGTGCCCATCACTTTCTCCAGACTAATGGGGACAAGTCCGGTCTTGTTGACCCATATGTGTGACCCTCAGTATTAATGAGAGAGTAATAATGTTACAGCCAATGTTGCCTCTTCAGTATGCTTCCGCAATTACCAGCACCTCCTAGTCATTGAAGATGAAGTACAGGAGCATTATTACACAGTGTCTCCTTTCATTTCCCAAAGAAATCTTGGAGACTATTATATGATACAATATAGTGTGAAAAATATCTTTAAAAGAAGTCTCCTGACTTTTCATTAGTTTGGCAGCTTTTTGCTGTCATGTCTCTCTCATAGCCATTCAAGTTGAATCTTCCAGTCAACATGGAAAATCTTCCTATAAATAATGGAAGTGGACAGTCCTTTGGATTCATCCTCTATGAGACTAAAATCTGCTCTGGAGGCCTTCTGCATGTCCATGTTAATGATATTGGAGAGGTAAGTGTCTTCAGACTATCACTTTGGATCAGCAAATGCTTAGCAGACTTCTGCCATTGGAGATGGTGCTAGTCATGTATCAGACATTAGCATTTTTTATTGCATTAACATCATCTCTGATGTGGGGGGAATTGGGAATATGAAGTCAAACTTTCCTTCTTTAACACACTTGGAATTCCATTGCAACATGATGCAACAGAACCAGCCCTGACTTCATAATAACCTTCCTGTACGTGTCTCTGTGTCTAACACTGGTTGCCTCTTTGTGCAGGTTTTTCTTAACGACACAGTACTAGCATCTATTAATAGTGAGCTTAAGAATGTGGACATTCCAGCCTTCATGGTAGGTAACTTCAAAATCCTACTTCACCAAATGAAATGCCAGAGTAATCTGTTCCTCCTAAAGCTTTTCCCTTGCTATTAAACTATCTTTGGTGTTGTTTCTCACTTCAGGCATCAGCAGAGCATGATGCATCTCTCAGGACAGCATCCATTAGTAACTATTGTCTTATCTATGAGTTGCAATTCCCCATTAGAAGTTTGTTCTAAGTCCTTATTTGGATTCTTGATTAAAGGAATACCCATGTTTCTTTGCTTCTTCTAATAGGACCTGTGGAGGATGGTGGGGATATTTTATATGGAGAAGAGCCATATATCAGTCCTTATGAGAATGGGACCACTGTTAATTGTGAAACCATTTTCATCCATTTGCATGTCTTTTTCTCTGAGACTCCAATAAAAGAATACATTCTAGAGAAAAAAAAATTCAGCCTTACTAAACAACTGCCATGCATTGTTCTGTTCCAAATAGGGTTGTCAACTTCTCAGGATCCTTGTGGAGAATCAAGGACGGGTGACTTTTTCAGACAAAATGCAAACTGAGCAGAAAGGTAGGCTCTAGACCTGGAAATCAGGCACCAGCTTCTCTTCAGTTACTTGGAACATGAACTTTGAGTTATGTTGGGAAAGGTAGTAATTAGGACCTCCATGGTTAGATACTGAGGTTCTAAGATGAAATCATTTCTCTTCTTCCTGGTTCTATCTCCTCTTATTCTCTAGCACAGGAAGGTAAGTATTTGCACATTTTTATCTCCTTGACCACATCAATCTTCTGTGCAGAGTTTTAGGGAGTTTCAATGCCAAGTGGACAACTTATTGGGAGTGTTGAAAAATCAAGCAAAAAACTTGCTCTCACAGCATGAGACAAGTGTGTGTCCTGGCTGTGCTCTATGATGCATTTACCTACCCTAGACACTGGAGAGTGTCAGTCTTTATTTCTTCATAGCCCCTTTTCTGCCTCCCTTCCCCAGGAATAACTGAAACTATTACTCTCAATGGAGTGATTCTGAAGGGCTTTAATATCTACTGCTTGGAAATGAAAATGAACTTCTTTGAGAGGTATGTCCCTGCCCAACCTCAGTGGTCACTTTTAGTGATCAGCTGACTGTGTTTCCAACATATTCACTTTGCAGAGAATGTTATGGAAGCTCAGAGAAGTGAAGGAATTGAGTCTATGCTTTCAGTTACTTTGGAATAAGGACAAGAATAAGACTAATTCCTAGTCCAGTGCTTTCTGCTTCACTCATATCATTGAAGCAGAATCTTTGATCCCGTGGGGCAAAGTGATGTGAAGTTGGAGGTTAGAGTTCAGTAACATAAATGTTCCAAATTGCAATCACAGAATTGTCATCTCATAAGTATCATTGAGATATAAAGTATAATTTTAGGATTACTTTTCCACCAAATATAGCTGTCATTTTTACTTCTTGTTCAGTGCTTCCTATTTTGGATTATGAAAACTGAACTATAAGGTATTCATTCTTTTTAGTATTGTGTCTTTTATTCATCATTGTTTGTGAAACCCAATCATTTCTCTAGGTTTTTTGGTTCATTTTTTCAATGCTGTATAACACTTTTAACTTTAAAAAAATTTTTCATGACACAATTTCATAGGCTCAGGGATTTCACCATCCACCACCTCACTGTTTTCCCCAAGATTATTGCAACAGTACAGTCCTTCAGCAGCAGTCACAAGTCCATCATTCTGCTATTTAACTGCATCCTGACATTGTTCACAAAGACAGAGATAAAATGAATATACTACCCTTTATTATTCAGGATTCTACTATTGAAGGAGATTTTGATGATTGCCAGTGTTTGACTAGCTTAGGAAATTAAGATTCTTTTATATTTATGTTTTGCACTGAGACATGTGTCTCAGGTTTGATATCAAGGCTTAGATTCTAATAAATGATTTTGGAATGAGACTCAGAGTTTCAGGAGTGTTGTATGATCAGGATTCAGTACATGTCACAAGGAAATCTGTCTGGAGCTAGCAGTTCCTCATTTCCTTCACGGGATGACTGACAAGAATGGATATGACTCTTCCAAATAAAATGTTAACATGTTTCTGTGTTTATTATATTATTATATTATATATTATATGACATAATGTAATAATATAATAAATTATTTTTATATTCTATATTATTATAAAGAATATTATTATATAATATGTAATGTGTAATATATAAATATATAAATATTTTATATCTAGTATATGAATGCATTATATAATATATTATATATAAGATATATAATAGTACATTATATTTGCATGTAATATTATATATTATATATAATACATTATACATTATATATATAAACAAGATATATATACAATATCTTTATTTCTTAATTATTGATTGAAAATTAGGCTAGCTTGAGCTTTTCTTTATTGGGTTATTTTTCATTATGGATTCAATATTCTTTGGTTCTGTGTCCCATGGTTATGAAACCAGTTATGGTTATGTTTATCTGCATAGATAACATATGCCTCCATTCCTGCCAAGTTTTATATTATACCACATACTTGTTCACAATGCTAACTAATTATCTTTTGTCTTTTTGTGGCATTAGTTGCAATTGCTTATTCTTTTTACTTCAGACTTCATTTATTTGGGCATTTATTTTGTTAGCCTATCTAAAGTTAAACATTATCCGTATTTTGAAAATCACAATTCTTAATTTCACTTACCTTTTGTATTCAATTTTTATTTTGTTGATTTTTGCTTTTATCTCTAAAAGAAATGGAAGGAGGGAGAGAGAAAGAGAAAGGGAGAGAGAGCAGTTATTTTATGTTTAGTCCTGTAAGATTTCAACACCCATGTCCGGTCAGATCAAAACCAGAACACGTGAACACTTTCCCAGCCTTACAAGTGGATAGCATGGGCAAAGTAACGGGGTCATCACACTTGCCAAATCGGTCCATTAGTAGGAAGCTGGGTCCAAAGAAGAGCAGCCGGAACGTCAAAGGAACAGCTCAATGTATGCCTGATCTGCTGCACTACAGCATTGACGATGAACTAAACCTTTAAACTGAGCAGTGAAATCCACTGCTGAGAGGTTGTTATGGATAATTTATACCTTTCCTTTTTAATTTTACTCTTTTAAGGAATGTTTTCTTTATTCTTTCCAACACCTCAACATTGTAATAAGGAATATGGCTTTCTTAAAGGGCGACTTAACCATTAGGTCGAATGCCCACCTTTTCTCTCATTTTTTAAACTCGTTTTAGTGAGTTAATATCCCTCATTTCCTTATTTGTACTTTTGACAGCTCAGCTAAAGCATTTAACTCCTTTCTGGTTTATAAAGGTCCTGCTGCACATGTTGTAGATACTCTGTGTCCCACAGTCTTCAGATATTTTACACTTGGCAAAGATTTTTTTTTAAGATTGTTTTTATTATTATTAGAAAGTCAGATATAGAGACAGAAGGAAAGACAGAGGAGAAGATCTCCCCATTGATTTACTTTCCAAGTGGCTTCAACAGCCAGAGCAGCACTGATCTGAAGCCAGGAGCCAAGAGCCTCTTCCGGGTCTCCCATGTGGGTGCAGGGTCCCAAGGCTTTGGTTCATCCTCAACTGCCTTCCCAGGACACAAGCAGACAGCTGGATAGGAAGTGGGGCCGCTGGGATTAGAACCAGTGCCTATTTATAACCGCAGTATGTGCAAGCCAAAGACTTTAACAACTAGGCTATTGCTCTGGGCCCGGTAAAGTTTTGAAATATTTTTAAACTTGTACTGTTGTGATTATTTGAGTTATGGGTTACCTAGACATTTTTCCTTAATTTTCAAGGTTATGGGTGTCTTAGGTTATATTTTAATTATTTTCATGTTTAATTACAGTGTAGAATGATAGTTTTTAAATATGTAGACTTGTTTACTCAACATGGAATAATATTTGCAAATATTCTTATGAACACTTCAGAATTATGTGGATTGTTTACTTGTTAAATAATTGCCTCACATGCGCTATGTAGAAGGGAGGCAAGATCTTTTTATTCAAAATTTGTTTTTTCATTGATTTCTACAAACTAGTCTATGACTGTGTGAATATTCTATGATTCTGAATTTATTTTTATATTCTTTCATTTTTCCACTTGGCTTTGCAATTTTCAACTATCCTTAGGGCTTTCCTTACAAACAGCCTATACAGTTATGCTAAATTAAGAATTTCATCATCATGACATAGCTCACTGTATCTCTAATAGTATTTACTGCATGAAAAAAATCATGCTTTTGATACTAGCAGATGTTACAACTCGCTTTTGATACTCTGCATGTATCATCACTTCCTCCATGATTCCTCTTTTGCTTTACCTTATGCTTTTATGATTTTATGATTCCATCACCTTATGCTTTTGATGATTATCCTATGCATGACATGATTACCATTAGACATGTTAGGGAAGCTGGAATTACTAGGAAGTGATCACTGCATCTCATTATGAGGAATGCTTTGAATAAGGGTTCATTGTTTATTCCTTTGGGTACAGATCCATAGAGCCCCAGCTTTAGTGTACGTTATTTTTAAGTCTTTGTGATATGAAATGTGTTCACCAACACTTGTGATGTCATGAACATTTCTGCTCAGCCTTTTAAAACTTCTCCCTGAAAGTACGCATGCCTTTCATGGACACTCCCCATGCTCTTTTCCTTTCAGTTTTTCCCCTATTCTTTGGTTCCATAACTTCTCGTTGCAATATAAGCAAAATGAAAGGACAACAGCTTTTATAGGTGTTATCAGCAGTAGTCTTTGTTGCATAATACATATTTTTGGAAATAGACACCTGGTTTTCTTTTATTATTATTATTATAATTTTATGATACAGATTCATTAGCCCTGAGATTTCCCTTCATCCCTCCCCCATCCCTCCCCACTGAGTTCTCCTATGTTATCATAATAGCATAGTCATAAGTCCGTTAGAGAGTCCCACACCCATTGTGGCACAAGTGGTTAAGGTCCTCGCCTTGCACGCCCTGGGATCCCATATGGGCACAGGTTCTATCCCGGCAGCCCCGCTTCCCTTCCAGCTCCCTGTCTGTGGCCCAGGAAAGCAGTCGAGGATGGCCCAAAGCTTTGAGACCCTGCACCCGCGTGGGAGACCCGGAAGAGGCTACTGGCTTCGGATCGGCATAGCACTGGCCGTTGCACTCACTTGGGGAGTGAATCATCGGATGGAAGATCTTCCTCTCTGTCTCTCCTCTCTGTATATCTGCCTTTCCAATGGAAAAAAAAATATGTTGAACAGTTTCATAGGGAGTCCATCTTTGATCTGGAAGGAGAGAATCATACTGCATTCTATCCTCACATCTGGGTATGATAACCTCCATTACACAGTTACGTCCCCTTAAGTGAAAAGCCACAATATAAAATTAGTAACAGAAAGAAAAATAGAAATTAAATAACATTTGCTGCTGGATATGATAGTCTCCATTATACAGTTAGAATACATCCCCTTAAATGCAAAGCCACAAAACAAAATCAGGAACAGAAAGAAAAACAATTACAACTCCCTTAAGTTAAATAACATGCTACTGAATCACTAACATGTCGCTCAAGAAATGGAAAAGAAATTCAATAATCTGCTTGAGGAAAACAATGCCACTGTATGGCATAAGAGTAAGTGAAGAACTTAATATGAGGAAAAAACTGTTTTGAAGAAATGAGAATAAAACAAATACATCAAATTCCATGATATAGTTTCCACTGATCTTTGTTGGTAAGATGTATCTCTCTCTTTTTTTTAAGATTTATTTATTTATTGGAAAGTCAGATATACAGAGAGGAGGAGAGACAGAGAGGAAGATCTTCCGTCCAATGATTCACTCCCCAAGTGACCACAACGGCTGAGGCTATGCCAATCCGAAGCCAGGATCCAGGAACTTCTTCAGGGTCTCCCACACTGGTGCAGGGTCGCAAGGCTTTGGGTCGTCTTTGATTTCCCAGGCCACAAGCAGGGAGCTAGTTGGGACGTGGAGCTGCCGGGATTAGAACTGGCGCCCATATGGGATCCTGGCACATTCAAGGCGAGGACTTTAGCCACTAGGCCACACCACCAGGCCCGGTAAAATGTATCTCTTATAGGCAACGAATAGATGGATTTTGCTTTTTAAATTCAGTCTACTAATCTTTGATGTTTGATTGATGAGTTTAAGCCATTTACATTCAGGGTTAATATAAATAAGTGGTAATTTAGTACTGTCATTGTAGCGATGGTTTGTTTATGGATTTATTCTGCTGCTGTTATTTTGCTGGGATGTTCCTTACATTGGCCTTTTGGTGGGTGCTATTCCTCTTCTCTGTCAAGAGATCACCTTTGGGCCCAGCACAGTAACCTAGTGGCTAGAATCTTCACCTTGCATGTGCTGGGATTCCATTTAGGCACTGTTTCTAATCCTGGCTGCCCCTGCTTCCCGGCAGTTCCGCGTCCCATCCAGCTCCCTGCTTGTGGCCTGGGAAGGCAGTCAAGGACAGCTCAAATCCTTCTGACCCTGCACCTGCGTGGGAGACCCACTAGAATCTCCTGGATTTGGATTGGCTTACCTCCAGCCATTGTGGCTACTTGGGGAGTGAATCAATGAATGAGAGATCTTCCTCTATGTATCTCCTCCTCTCTGTATATCTGACTTTGCAATAAAAAAGAAATACTTCTTTTTAAAAAGTAGAGGGCATCTTTAAATATGTAAGAGGTTTGAAAGAGGCAAATTCTGTTAACTTGTCTTGACTGTGGAGGAATTTTGCTCCCTTTTCAAAGAGAAAGGGAAGGTTTGCTGGGTACGTTATCCTGGGCTGACAATTTTTGCTCTCAGTATCTGGAAAATGTCACTGCATTCCCTTCTGGCTTATAGTTTCCTGTGAAAGGTCAGCTTTGAATTTAATTGCCATTCCTCTATATATCCATTGATTTTTTTTTTTTTCATTTGCACATTTAAGGATCTTTTCTTTATGTTTGGCTGAAGAGAGCTTGATTATCATGTGCCGTGATGAAGATTCTTTTTGGTCAACTCTAGGGAGAGTTCTGTGCTCTTCCTGGATATTGTTTCCTAAGTCCTTCTCCTTATTAAGGAAAGTTTCTTTAATTATTTCATTAAATACATTTTAAAACCCAGCTTCTCTTTCTGCACCTTCTGGAACTCCCATAACTCTTATATTTGGCCTTTTAATAGCATTTGTTAATTTTTATATACTTTTTTCCAAAGCTTTACCTAGCTTTGCTGTCAGCCTTTTGATTGTTTCCCATTGTGACGAAATATTTTCCAACTCACAGATTCGTTCTTCTGCCTCACTCACTCATGGAGACTTTCTACTGAATTTTTAGTTTACTCTGTTGTGTCCCTCATTCCCAATGATTTTGCCTAATTTTGTTTCTGTGTTGCTATTTCCTGTGTGATACATTCTTTAAAATCCTTGAACTTCTGTACGTGCTTTTGGTTGATTAGAAGCTCTAAAATGAGTTGTCTGAATTCTGTATTCTCCATTTTCTCGGTGTATTGCTCAGCTAACTTTGAGCTTGGCAAAGGCTTTTGCTCCATTGACGGGGAGTCTTCAGTATTATTCATTGGGCCTTTGTTTCTCATTTTGCTCTTGGTCATTGTACTCTGGTTATCAGATTCTTCTCCTTAGGATAGGTTTCTAAACTGTCTCACAGACAAGTCTACTATTTGATTTTACTTATGGCAATTAGTACAGGCTTTTTGTTGTTGTTATTTGCAGTCACTTGTGCCACTCCCTCAAGTGAGTGGTGCCCAGTGCAATGTGCTGAGCTGAACTAGTTCACTCCCATCTCAGCACACTGTTGTTCCTGCAGTCTCAAATCCTTTGCCACACTATACAAAATGGGAACTGGTGTGTCACTCATGGAATTCTTGATCTACTGGCTGTTAGATATGGGATTACCTGGAACTATTTTGGGTGGAACCTGTGAGATGCCACCTCATTGCAATTCACTGAGCCAGAAATGAGTTTGCTCCCAGCTTAGTGCATGTGCAGTCCTGTTCCATAGCCTATGCTTCCCTACACAAAATGATGT